ATTAGAGATTACACAAATGAAATTTGAGATTTTTGAGATGAAGAAAAGTATTTTTAATCTTAACATAAAAATCACTTTGCACACAGACTATTCAAAACAAATACTCGATATATTAACGAACAAATCTTTTTTTTAGTTTATTAAAAACACTTCACTAAAAATATGATTTTTTGTCTGTGAGAGACTTATAAGGTTTACTGAAAGAGTGCCAAATTTCGTGAAGATATTCACACTATATTAAAAGTTAGTATTATCAAATCTATAAAGACTTTAAACAAGTACAAATTGACCAAGCCCATATTGAGAGAGAGAGAGAAAAAAAAATTATTTAGAATATTAACCATTTTGCAATGGGTACCCTTTTAAACTAATTTCTGTGCAACTCATTGTGTTACATTCAAAATTTAATTATACACCTTTATCAGTTTATGTGAATGAAATTAACATTCTAATGTATGTTATGATTCAAAGTTTTGTGTTATCTAAGTTTTAAGTCTTTTATTTCAAAAGAAACCTTTAAAAACTACTTAAAACTTCAGATGTATTGTCATGTAACCAAGGAGCTATGAAAATTCTCTATTTTGGCACTCTGTATCTTCAATTACAATGGCAGTTGCTTATAGCTATGTCTAGACTCTAAGATGCATACATAATCTTTTGCCACATAATGGTAACATATTTTGATCAGGAGCCATGTCAAAGAGACACAGTTTTGGAGAGGTCATACACACCAATTTATTTTCTTTTTTTAGTTCTTAAATAAATTATGCAACCTTTCTTCATTGTCTGTTTGAGGTTGGAGACCTTGTTCTTGATCATCTGATATGGTAGAATGCTACTACTGTTATGTCTACTGTTATGTCTACTGTTTTTGTCAGCACTAAACCTTTTTTTTTTAGCTTTGGCACAGCTCATTTGGGCTTGATAGATGGGACTTAGAGCCCTCTGCTGAAGTTCTGATATGTTCTGGTCTGAAAAACAAATGCAATGAATAGCAAAGAAGAAAGCTTATGTAGTACACTCATCAATTATGCAATAAGAGGTACTATCATGTTTTCTGCTGATGATGTGGTTAGTCATAACTCAATCAATATTTGTTCAAATTGGAAACTTTAAATTATAGTCATCATTTCTCTTCATATGCCACTTCCTATATAAGTTTCACCAAATTAATATAAGTTCTGGATTTTATAATGTCCAATCCCTGCCACCAAGCCACTGATTGAGGAAAAGATCTTGGGTTGAAATGAAAGAACAAAAAGTGTATTTAAAATAAAATCTTGTATATTTGCTGTGAGTTTTTAGTAGCAGAACTTAACTTATGTATGATTGGTTTACAGGGTCTTGTAGGAACCATATTTATCAAAGGAAATATTCGGTGGTGCAGCTACCGGAAGCAGTCTCAGTTGGGGAAGTATCCAATAACAGAGGTAAGTGAACATTACATGTTATTTCATGATTTTATGTGAGTTCATTATTAAAATACACAGCAATTTCTTCACTGCCACTTCAAAGCAAAATTTTAAAACTACATATTTGCAAGTATTCATTTTTAGGTAAGAATTAAAATTAATATGTATCAAATTTATAAATTCATAATTTCTTAAATTTCATCATGTTTATTTATTTTGAATTGCAAAGAATTACGCTTGTAACGATTATGTTTTTTAAACATTAAACTTTATTCGTTTTAGGTACTTGTTATCGCCTGTATCACTGCTATTATCAGTTTTCCAAACACTTATACTCGCATGAACACCAGTGATCTTATCAAATTGTTGTTCAGTCAGTGTGGTGTAGCAGATGTTTCACTTTTGTGGTAAGTTCTGAAAGAAATGATAGATTTTTATGAGGAAGTTAATTCTTATGAAACTTCAAACAAAATTGTTTATTTATTATCTTGATTTTTTTTTTTCAAGTAGGCAGTTTTATTTTGTATAATATTCAGTAAAGATTATTTTTATAGAATCCTGGAACAACTAAAATGTCTTCATCAAAATATTTATATTCACAAATTTTAATATACCACCAAATATAAACTAATGCTTTGATCAATATCTTAAATCTTGTTTATTACAATTATCAGCTTATTTAACTTGCCAGAACAATGAGTTGAAATTGAGAAGGCAGTGATTCAAATTAGATGTTTGTGATGTCAAAATACTAAGTCCATAGTTTTGTACAAATTAGGAACTCAAATTACTGATATTGGCAAGCTAGAATATAAAATAAGAACCTCTTATCTTTTCACTTTGCTAAGATATTGCTCATGTAATAAATCAAACACAGTGGTGCCCCACCCACCTCTTTCCATTTTTGGAAACACGCCCTTATATACACTTACTTCTGTATATGACATGAATGATCAATCGAAAGCTCAGAATGTCCCCTTAGTGGCTTTCTTAACCATTTTAAATTCTTAGGGCACCATCACTTTCTTTCGAACCAAGATTTGAAAGAGGTAGGTCGTGTCTTTAGTCTGCTTGAAATTTCATATTATTTTAGACTGAAATACAGCTTAGTTACTAAGCTTGATAAATTATAGTGGAATTCTATGGTATCGATATAGTAATTTATGATATATTGGTTATTCAATTGTATATATAAAACCTAAAAAAAAGTATTTTGTCTCATATCCTCCATGTGCAAAATTTTAAAAAGCATAGCAACCTATGTCAAGCAGCAACAGAGTACAAAGGTTGTAACTAGAAGAGATAGTTGTTTGCTTTACTTCTTTATTTACCATTTAATGTTTTAAGAAAAATAAGTTTAAGAACTTATCTCTAAATTGCAATAATCTATATACATATGTAATGAGTAACAATTGAAATGTGACTGTATTTTACAAAATACTAATATACTAAAACACAGCCAAGACAAGTTACTTTGTAAAGACTAAAGGTAAGTTTTATATTATTGGATATGGTAACATGAGTGCACGTGTGCCGCATCATTGTAACTTCTGTACTGTTAGCCAGGCATGGCTGAAAGGTCAATATAATAAAAATAATAAATATATATAAATGTATAATGTTATGAGACTTAAGCTATTTAGTCTAAACATTTATGTTTTCATGTCATAATTTGTTGTCATTCTAGAATGAAAGAGGAATGATTTATATTTATTTCCTAATTTTTTTTATGGTGGATGTAAGATCGGTCAAATCGACTGAACCCGTGCAGAGATTCGTTACTGAAAATAACAGATAAAATATAAAGTTTTTCTTGAGAAGCATTTGAAAATTTTCTGATGCATAAAAGTATTTTTAATCTTAAAATAAAAATTACTTTGCATGTTGCCTATCCAACATGTGAATAGAGAAAAAAGGCACGAGAAAAACATTGCCTTACAGACCTTAAGACTTAAAAAATTTTGATAATTTGCATATGAAAGCATTGTAATGTTTTCTGATAGTCTGCCAGATTTTGTTAACATATGCTTACTGATATAAAAGTTGTAGCATGATAACTATAAGAAGCACAAAATGGTTATGAGGTCAGTCCTAGGGAGCAAGCCTGTGCTGAAAGAGTTAACAAACTAACTTTACCCAGTTATAGAAGATTTGAGCATTATTAATTGTTTCATCTCTTACATGTAGAGAATCTACCAATATAATTCAACAATAACATCTGCTGTTGGCTGTTTCTTAACAGCTAATTAATTTAAGAATAAAGTAGTAATGTGCCCCATATATACACACACACACATATTCTTGAGCAATAAAGTTGTAATTATGTGAAATAAAACTAACTAAGACATAGTGTACAAATAAGGGTGATCTACCTTGCTCGAAGTTTTTTTTTTTTCATTTAAAATTGGAAAAAAGTTTTAAATAAATTTAGAAAAATATGTCTTAAATAACCTAATAATTTATGGAATAAAATTTCTTTAAGGAGATATTGAAAACATTTGGAAGTCAGAGTTGAGAAAGAAACCATTTTTAAAAAATTCTTGAACTAATTGTAATTTATTTTAGGACTTACAAACTTCAAAAGAATTTCTCATAGGAGTATATTTAGACTTATTCAATCAAAATATATATGACTCTCTTGAAATGTTTTTTAGATAACTGTAATTTGATGTAGACTAAAAATTTAATTTTGAAAAAAAATTGGTTGAGTGTGTTACCAATGAATTAACACTGGCTGTTTTATATCTACAATATTTCAGTGTTAACGATTTTCTAGTCCTTGTAAAAGTGTAGTGAACAGTTATTTTCTTTTATAGTGTTATTCCATTTAATAAGAGAGGAAGTGTTAATTACATCATTTCTGATGAGCAAAATGAATAAGTAGAATTTGTTTTTGATGTAAAATCCTCTTTAAATGTTCCTGCAATTCATAGTCACTTTTGCCATGTAACCCTTGGAATAAAAGGGGGCTGGAAATTGGAAGCTTAAATTCCATTTATAATTAATTTATTTTCTGTATTATCCCATGGTGAGTGAAAAATTGTATACTTCTTTTTCAGTGATTACAACAGGAACTTCACAAATGTTAACAGCAGGATAGAGATAGCTGAGGCAGGGCCAGGTGTGCATAAGTCTTTGGGATTACTAACCTTAGCCTTAATCTTCAAACTGTGTATCACAATTTTTACATTTGGAATCAAGGTGAATATGGTTTGAGCTTAATAATTAACATGTTAAGATATAATTTCTCAACAATGAGTTATGTTGAAGATATTGGTTTTAAAAAAAATAATGTTCTCTTTTTTTAATGTGGAATACCATACTGAATTTTGTTGACATCCTAGTCACAAAAAATTTCACTAATGTGTTAATAGTTAACTAGCAGTGACCCGCAAAATATTTCTGGCCAAATTAGTATCTTTATAGTAACAGTACCTCTTTAAATATAACATTTCTAGCACAATACAAATGAATTGTAATTGTAGACAACGAAATGTGTAAATCCACTTGTATATAGGCCATACCTTATAAAACTTTAACTTTAGGCCTAAGTTCGATAAAGAGATAAATGAACACTGTAACCTGTGTACATTTTATTTTACTTTAGTTTAGTT